GAAAGGAGAAAACTGGGAAAAGAATAGTTATTTAGAGTGTCCATGCCAAATGAAGCTGGTAGAGTGGGTTCTAAGGACTCTTTAAGTACCTGGTGTTTGGCTTTTTATGTCATTAGGATGTGGAATGTAGCGGGTCATCCAGTTAAGGTCTTTGTTTAAAGCAGGCATGTCCAAAGTCCGGCCCGTGGGCCAATTGCGGCCCGTGTTCCGGTTTAATACGGCCCCCCGGGTAATTTGGCAATATCTATCTTTTATGGCCCCCAATGAATCCATATGTATTGAGATGAATACATTGTAAAATCTCAGTTAAAGTCAGTTGGTCTAAATCAGTTATAAATATATTTGGACACAACATGTATACTTGGTGTTATGTTCCTGTTCATATTTTTTGAACTTAAAAGTTGACAGACAACCTTTATTACCAATAATATGTAATGTACTTTACAATGTTCCTGACATATATTTCAGCTTCCTGGATTTTTTTTTCATCTGGCCTTCAGATATGAAAGGCAGAGTGATTTAACACCTGTTTAGATTTGTCATCCATGTGACGAAATGAAAAGTATGCCGTTTGTAATAAACTTTGCATAAAATAGTTACTTTGCATTTAATTTTAATGGTTCAAAGAATGTCAGGCAAAATGGTCGGCCCTCACGCATGTTCACTTCATCAAATCTGGCCCTCTTTGAAAAAAGTTTGGACACCCCTGGTCTACAGTTATGCCATAGAGTTGTACAGTAGCCAGAATTTTTTAATGAATAAAACTTCTCTGGTCCTTCTGGCATAATCTTGATTGATGATCAGTTTGTATTTCTATAGCACCTTTTATTGGAGGATTACAAAACACAAACAAAAATTAAGTCACACAATAGAAGTAGGTCAATATCATTATTGTTAATTTACAGATGGGTAAAACAGAAGGCACAGAGATAAAGTACCATCCAAGTGAGTGGCAGGATCTGGACTGGATCCTACTCCAACCACTATACTGGTTTCTTGATGGCTCTCCCAACTTCATTTGTGGAGCTGTGGAGGGTCTCCTGGTAACAAAGGTAGAGACAGTGTGCCCATGAGAATGATATGGGAAGAAAGATGGGATGCGTATTGCACAGCTCTTCCTCATCTTTAATGGATGGAGTGCTCATACTTCAGTTAATATTCCAGTCACTCATTTGCACTAGTGTGGATGGTCTAGTTTTTGCTAAATTCTCAGGGAAGAGGGAGGAATTCTTCACACCTACAGTCACCCCAGAACATCTCCCTACCTTTAATATCAGCAATTCACAGACACTTACCTTCCTTCCCCCCCCCCCCCGCATCCCCCTTCTGTTCTGCAATGTGATTTGTCCTTTTCATATTTGTTCATTTTTTTTAATTGTATCCTTTGGTATATATGGTTGTGACTACTTTCTTCCACTATTTGATCTGAGGAAGTGGGTCTGGCCCACGAAAGCTCATCATCTAATAAACCATCTTGTTAGTCTTTAAAGTGCTACATTGTCCTGCATTTTGTCCCAGAACATCAAATATCAACTGTTGGGGGGAAATGAATTTGGTTCTAAAGAGATTTTCTTTGCTCAAACTATTTGTGATGCTTTTTTTTTTAACATCTCACCCCCTTTTGCAGAATCCTTCCCCCCCAATCTAAGGCTTGCTGAGGCATGTGTCCAATTCCAACAAACCTTGTCAATTGGCAGGGCTGATAAAAAAAACCCACCACCATCCACCAGATGTCTTAAAACTAAGTCGGAATGAGGCATGTGGAAAGATGTGAGCACGACCCTAAGGGGTGGAGGGCAAGAGGATCAGCAACGCAATCTGCTGGTTCACGTTAAAGGCAAGGTAGGCGGAGTTTGAAGGGTGACATTTCATGCAGGCTCTCAGCCTTCCATGCCCCAGAGCGCACAGGGAGGCTAAGTGACTTGACCAAGGGCACAGCGCCTCTGGCAAAGCAGGATCTCGAATCCCAGCCCCAGGCCTTGCTACAGCCACGAAGGGGTCTCCCAAGAACCCCGCACCGGGATGTGCGCCCCCACCACCTAACT